CAGACGTGTGCTCTTCCGATCTAAATATTTTTTTATGAAATAAATCTTGAGTTATAAAGCTTGAAAGTTGGAGTACTGTCGGCATTAGCATCATCCAAGGTGTCCAAACACTAGCTAAAACCTTTTGAATGTTGTTCAGGATCATAACATTGATAAAGGCCAACGACCTTGGCCATCTTTAGCTAGTGTTTGGACACCTTGGATGATGCTAATGCCGACCTTTGACTATATAAGTATGGACTGATAGTGATTAATTTCATACGTGTCGCCAAGCTGGAAGATGTAAACTCCACCCCAGTCAGTAATTTTCTGCGGGGTGGGGGAAGGCTCCTGTGAAATCAGCGTGTTTACGACGTGTAAAGGAAAGGTGCTGAGTCTATTTTTCATTTCTTTCCATCGATTTGAAATTTTTTCCGACTCCCTATCAATTTTCAACATAACATTTAATACATTTTGACATATTTGACATTTTTTTACTGACTGGGGTGGAGCCTAACAATCGAAGTTCGATACCTCAACCAACTTCAGCTCGGCGACACCGGGCATATATGTCTTTTACATAGTAAAAGTGGGAGGACTAGCAGTCCATATTTATATAGTCAAAGATGCCGACAGTACTCCAACTTTCAAGCTTCATAACTCAAGATTTATTTCATAAAAAAATATTTTATTTATGTGTTTTGGGAAAGTTCTCGAGGCGTGCTATAAGAACATAATGAAAAATTGGGGGTTCCATTTAAAAAATTCAAAGTGGCCTTGTCCTGACCTTGATGACGCCACTCAGGGTCAAACCATGAATGTTATCATCTTATGTCCCCCTCGAAGTCCGAAAACTTTTGTCTGAAACATTTTTTCCTAGTGTGCTCATTTTTCGGGATATTTGAAAGTTTCTGGTTAAAAAAATCACCCTGTATACATATTCTCCATCCACTTTGTGGATATAGCACGGACACGCACCACATTTTATTGACAATTATGTCTGATGTAGCTCTGACTCGAACCACTTCCATTCTCTTTGCCTATGATTTTATCGGCAGTATCAGAAAAGATCGGAAGAGCACACGTCTGAACTCCAGTCAC